AATTTTCTGTAATATTTGATATAAGGACCCATTTTATATTTAATTGTACACTACTTTTAGATTAGTTGTAATTAATCTGCATATGATCTTTTAAATTTTAATAATTTTATATTTAAAAAAAAATCTTAAATAGGAATTTTACTTCACTTGCTTATATTTTAAAAGAACTCTACCATCTGATTTTAATTCCAATTTTGTAATTAAATTTCATGTGGTATTAGAGATAAGAACCACTTTTATATTTGATTTTACATAACTTATACATTTAATTATCAATTATTTTAAATTTAATTATAAATTTACATATGATTTTCTAAGAGCCCAATTATTTTATAATTTGCAAAAATCTCACACTCAAGAATTTTATTTTAAATGCTTACATTTTAATAGAACTCTACCATCTACTTTTAATTCCAATTATAATTAAATTTCATGTGGTATTTGATATAAGAACCACTTTTATATTTGTTTTTACATAACTTATAAATGTAATTATCAATTATTTTAAATTTAATTATCAATATTCATATGATTTTCTAAGAGCCCAATTATTTTATATTTTGCAAAAATCTCACACTCAGGAATTTTACTTTACATGCTTATATTTTAATATAACTATCATCTGCTTTTAATTCCAATTATATTTAAATTTCATGTGGTATGTGACATAAGAACCACTTTTATATTTGTTTTTACATAACTTATAAATGTAATTATCAATTATTTTAAATTTAATTATCAATATTCATATGATTTTCTAAGAGCCCAATTATTTTATATTTTGCGAAAATCTCACACTCAGGAATTTTACTTTACAGGCTTATTTTATTTCATACCATCTCCTAACTTTGTTGTTACGATTTAAAGAAAAGGAGGTAATTTCAAATTAAAAAGGGTTAATTGAAAATTAAAAACCCTTAATTTGACGTTCACTTTGATATCGAAAAGGGTTAATTTGTAATTAAAAAGGGTCAGTTTGACATTAAAAATTGTTAACTGGACGAAATAATTTTAAAAGAACTCTACAATCTGCTTTTAATTCCAATTTTGTAATTAAATTTCATGTGGGATTTGAAATAAGAACCAATTTTATATTTGATTTTACATACCTTAATAAATTTAATTATCAATTTACATATGATTTTCTAAGAGCCGAATTATTTTATATTTCGAAAAATATCTCACACTCAGGTATTTTACTTTACATGCTTATATTTTTATATTTATCATTATAAATTGGTTATTTGTAAAAAAAATTGACAACGAATTGGATGATAAAAGGAAATGTAATCTAATCTGTTATCAATTAATTTAAAAGAAAAAACGTTTTTTACGTACTGATATTTATGATAACTACTTATGAAATGATAACACAAAAAAAATGAAGAAATTCAGACGCTGTCACAACCTAAGTGCAAGCCGTTTGGTAAAACTGCTCGGGACTTGAATAAGCGCATAAGATCTAGAATCTCCCGGCATGAAAAAAATCGTTTGATTTCCGTTTGTCAAACATATTGTAAAGATTTATGCATAAACATCCCCCACAGCGTATCTTGTGATAAAATGATACAACCATGACTGCAAATAGTTTAGTGAAACTAGATTTTCACGAAAAGGGGGCCAAATCCCTGTTTATATCCAGAAAAAAGAAATTTCGATACGGGGTTATTTTACGTGTGAAACTTTTATTTAACATAGTTTAAATAAAAGTGATTATTGTAATAATGTATTTTTTTTTTAATTTAATGTATGTTATTCTGATTGGGTTGAAGAAGATTTTGGTTGAACAAATATTTTAAAAAACTGCCTTGTAACGGTTTCCGGTGTCAAAATTTTTAACCACGAGTGTTAGTTCCGCTTGAAGGATGATTGAAAACCACAAAAAAACAAATCCTTTTATATCCGAACAAGATATATATACAGAGGACAAGAAAAAAGAAGTATGATTGATAAACGAAATATTTTTGACGAGGTCCAGTTTTTTTAAAAACCATTTAAACTGATTCCCTAAGCAAAAAGGCAGACGTCGAGACACGTCATTTTTTGACGGGTTGGTAGGAGGAAAAAAGTGAGAGTGGTGATAAGTTAAGTGTGAAATGTCGTGAGGGGTGGCTTTGCCGGTGTGGGAGAGCGGTGCGAAAGGGAAGAAAGGTGTCAGCCGAGTGTGGCTAATGGGCGTACTGTCCTTGCCTAATGAACCCAAGGATGTCCCCCCAAAGGCTGTCACGCCTAGACAACGGATATCTGGCCAACGGTCAGCTTTATTCACACATCTTAAACACCCACGTTTCTCCAAACAATCCGATTTTACCGTTTAAGAAGGTCGATCGGTCGAAATCGCAGTTTTACACTTTGTCGGACCTCTTTTCTAACCTACAAAAGTGAAAATGTTTCGATTTTTGATAATCGTCAACTTAATTAACCTGAAGAAACCGAGATTCGAGATAAATCCTGCATTAAAGCAAGGATGTAATTAACAGGTTCATTAATAAAGATAAATTATTATCAACATCATTTATATACTAAATCCTTAATTATGATGTTCAAGCATCCTTCCAATAAAAATAATATTTTCAGGAAGTCAGGATATTATTTTATACAAGGGTTTTAATCGATTTTTAAAAAGATAGTTCCTACTCACAGTAAGTTGTTTTCCATCGATTTCGAGCTTTTAGCTCATCATCAGTTGAAGTTCTACAACCATACTCTCGACACGAATTGCAAAAGTGTTTGTTCAGATCAAAAGTCTTTTGCAATTCATATCAAGACACGTGAATTTTACCTAATACTACTAGCCGTTTCTTTAGGGTAAAGCATGCTGCTGAAATCTCTAACTTACAATATTAACATTTTAAAGAATACTTTTCACTTTCTTGGGGTGTTTTACATGTTTTTGGTAATTTTTACAAAATATTCATGGAAATGATGAATGATGGAGTGAGTGCGGTGTTCAATCCTTTTTAAAAAGATATTTCCTACTCACAGTAAGTTGTTTTCCATCGATTTCGAGCTTTTAGCTCATCATCAGTTGAAGTTCTACAACCAAACTCTCGACATGAATTGCAAAAGGGTTTTGTTCAAATCAAAAGTCTTTTGCAATTCATGTCAAGACACGTGAATTTTACCTAATACTACTAGCCTTTTCTTTAGGGTAAAGCATGTTGCTGAAATCTCTATCTTTATACTCTTACAATATTAACATTTTTAATAATTCCTTTCACCTTCTTGGGGTGTTTTAACATGTTTCGGTAATTTTTACAAAATATTCATGGAATTGATGAATGATGGAGTGAGTGCGGTGTTCATTCCTTTTTAAAAAGATGTTTCCTACTCACAGTAAGTTGTTTTCCAATGATCCAGATTTCGAGCTTATAGCTCATCATCAGGTTGAAGTAGTTCTACAACAACGTCTCTCGACATGAATTGCAAAGTACTTTTGATTTTAACAAAACACTTTTGCAATTCATGTCGAGAGTATGGTTGTAGAACTCCTTCAACTGATGATGAGGTAAAAGCTCGAAATCGATGGAAATATCTTTTTAAAAGGGATTGAACACCGAACTCACTCCATCATTCATCATTTCCATGAATATTTTGTAAAAATTACCAAAACATGTAAAACACCCCAAGAAGGTGAAATGTATTCTTAAAAATGTTAAGATTGTAAGTGTATAAAGTTAGAGATTTCAGCAACATACTTTACCCTAAAAAACGGCTAGTTATTAGGTAAAAACAACTATGTTTTCAAATTTTATTTTTGAGTCTTACTCTCGCGTAGGGTTTTAAAACGAGAGAAAGATTAGCAATTTTTGTTTATATCGGCGATGTGCAAAGGACTTTTGATTTGAACAAAACACTTTTGCAATTCATGTCGTGAGTATGGTTGTAGAACTCCTTCAACTGATGATGAGGTAAAAGCCCGAAATCGATGGAAAACAACTTACTGTGAGTAGGAAATATCTTTTTAAAAAGGATTGAACACTGCACTCACTCTATCATTCATCATTTCCATGAATATTTTGTAAAAATTACCAAAACATGTAAAACACCCCAAGAAGGTGAAATGTATTTTTAAAAATGTTAAGATTGTAAGAGTATAAAGTTAGAGATTCAGCAACATGCTTTACCCTAAAAAAAACGGCTAGTAGTATTAGGTAAAAACAACTAGGTTTCCAAATTTTATTTTTGAGTCTTATTCTCGCGTAGGGTTGTAAAACGAGAGAAAGATCAGCAATTTTTGTTTACATCGGCGATGTGTTCTCAGAAAGAAGACCGATCCAGGCCGGCGTCTCACAAGGAAGCATTCTTGGTCCCATCCTATTTACCATTTACATAACCTGCCTACACATTCCAACACAATCCTTACAAGCTACGAGAATATAAAATTGAGCATCGAAGATTTTTTAAATATTTTTTTTTTTATCTTACTCGTAGTTGCCACATTAGCGGTCCAGGGTTCGTATCCCGGGATAGCCCATAGATTTTTTATTACAATCGACTACCCAACGGGTAATTTATCGTTAAGCCTTTATTTTTACACACGCAGGAGTTCAGTTCATAGCAAGCTTTATTTATCATCGGATCATCTCAGCAGCCTGCAGCCTCAATGGCCCATCTGAGTCTCCGTACAACGGACAACTTGACATAAACTACAACTGGGCTTGGTAGTTTAAGCATCGAAAAGTTCACCACCCTGTGAAAATTTGTAAAATTCACTTAAATTTACCCAGTTCAGAAGTTTATTATGTCTATGACACTATCCAAAATCAACGGGTATATCTTCCTTTTTATATTCATATGTGCATTTCATCCAGTTCCTTCATTCATGGCTTTTAGTAACTAGAATCATACTAAGAAGTATAGGCAAAAAAATACTAAAAATAAATCTCAACACTGATCTTGGCGACTGTTTGTTTTTAACGTTTCAAATTTTGTTATGTGCTTTTGTAGTGATTTTCAAAATTGATGTTTTAAAGTATTTTTGGTTTCTTTTGTTCCAGGCGTGTGATCGAGAAGATAGACCAAAGCGAGTTCGAAGGGTTCGAGTACGTAAACCCGTTGTTGATGTCCCTGGAGGACTGCGTGTGACAAGAATGCTGGGAGGACCCAGTGATCGAGTTCAGGTCCATCCTGTTGCCTCGGTCGCCAGAACGACCATCCTCGAGGTCCGGCCTACTCTCATGCCTAACACTCCGATAGACATCACCGTCAAAGAGAACAAAAATAACGTCAAAAAATCATGCTCAACACATACTCCGATCGCAGTCAAAAAATTAGGTGGTACGAAAAAAAAGCAAAAAAAAAGCAACGCTCGATAACGAAAGAAAAATATGACGCACCTGTTCAGTTTTTAACATTAGTGGGTTTTGTTTTCGTTAAATAGCATACGTCGAATATGCAGCACTAAAGTGTAACTGTGATTATATGAACAAAAACCCGAAACCCTTTGGGTTGACCTATTTGAATAATCCTATTATACTGTCCCTTGACCCCTTAAGGGTCCGCAATAGTATCTTAATTCTCGGATCTTCGCCTATGTAGTCGATACTGATATAACATAACCCATTAAAAAAATAAAATAAAAATAAAATAAAAAAGTAATAAGTATTAGTGAACTATGAATAAAACGGACGACTTTCATAAATATATATATTATACATAGAGGGCTAAAATTTATTGCCAATATGCTATATTAAAAAATAATATACTGTAGTATAAGAAAAAAATTATAAAGAAAAAATGCACTCTATTAAAACTTATCGAAAGGCACGTTTTATTTTGTATTCTTTTTTTATATTATTTTCTGTTATCTTGATTTTTTTAAAGAAATAATATTTTTATTTCCAAATTAAAATAGTTAACTTATTGTTGTTTTATTTTGAGACCACGTAAATTATTGTATCTTCTTCTGTGCTTCCAACTAGTGATTTGTTTTTAAATTTTTTTTTTAAATTTAAAAAGCTTGTAAATTATTTTTGTTATTTTCTAAAAGCGGAACTTTCTTCCATTTGGAAACGAAATTTAAAAAAAAATCCTTGGCGAAATGGACGTAAATATTTAAGGACTGCAATGCCTAATCCAAAAAGCCGTTCATTTAGGTAAAACTAAGTGCCATTCTTACATCCCCAACATTCCTGGAAATTTTAAACGAAGAACTACATCCTCGCACTGCGTCTTTTAATTTATTCGAGCCATTTAAAAAAACAAAAACATCTACGATCGCGAGCATAAAATTTATGAGCGGTCGTAATAAAAAAAAAATATATATAAAAACATTCCAGTCACAAATGGTCAATTTATTAAAGAACGCGATGTCCAATTCTTTAAAATTTTCACCCCATTTTTTTAAAATTTTTATAGTTAGTTCCAACTTCTTTAAATTTCCAAAATTATATTTGTAGAAAAGTATGTACAAAAACGGCGATTTAACCAGGATTAAATAATAAAAAATAAATCGGTCGAATCATGTATAGAAGTTTTTATTTATCGCTTTCTATACGTGTATATTACCTTGTAAATACCAGCGTATTTGAATGTAAAAACAAAAAAAATTAGTGTATGTTGAATTGTACCGGCGAAATTTGTACAAATTAAAAAAATAAATAATAGAAATTTCAGGAATTTATTGATTGATGCGGGGATCGCCCTTCTGGCAAGTGTGTCTATGTTTGATGAGAGGGAAATTTTTTTATGCTTAGTTATGATAGTTATGCTTCGTCTAATCAACCATCACTGTTTTCATTTTTTCTTAATAATTAACTAATTTATCGGTAGAATTATAAGGTCAGTATTAAGTTAAAATTTTATATATTTCTTTCTTTTCAATTTAGATTGTATATTTTACGTATTCATTTTTTTGTTTCTTTGTATACATTAAGTTAAAACTTTCTTAATTTGTATTGCCCCATGAAAAAAAAAATGAAAATAAAGAAAATATAGATATTTGGTATTTTTTATTCAACCATTATTCTACCATTTATTATTTTTTCATACAATAAAGATTACAAATTTTCAGGCATTTTTCGTGATTTGTCAGTCTGTGAGAGCATCGATAATCTTGAGAAAGAGGAGCTTGTAAAAAAAATTAATATGTGGATGTTGGCACAGATATTAAAGATAATTTGTCTATGCAGACACAGACCAGCCAAATATTATTAGCCATTATTTGTCAATAAAAACTAAAAAAGTCTACATCAAAAAGGAAAACCTTAACTATAATTTTCTTGCAACGATAAAAAATAAGGAATCGTTTATAGCATCCATAGTATTCAGGAAGCTTACAGCTTTTGAACATTGCGATAATAAAACATTAATATCTGGCACAGATAAAACATAATTTGTCTATGGAGTCACAGACAAGCCAAATGTAAATATACAGGGTGTTCGGCTACTCGTGTTGCAAACTTGCCAGTAGATTCTACATTCAAAATGGAACCAAAAAGTCCTAATTAGCAATGGTCCGAATCTCAGGAGTTTCAGAATTATTCCAATTTTTCTAATTTTTTGAAAATTTCACGACCTTGCTTCAAATAAACAACGATAACTCCAAAATTAAAAGGTTTAGGACAAATCCATTGAGACCATCGAAAACTACGTTAAATTTCCAATAAGGTGTCATCAATACTAAACCTGTAAACGTTAGTGAAATAAGCGGTTTAAAAGCGAGAACTTTGTAAAAAAAAATTTTTTTCAAAGTTGAAAAATTTACTATGGTGGTTCTAAAATAATATTTCCAAACCTAGAGAACAGCAAATTTCAGAAAATGTACCCCATTAAATATCCTTTGGTGCAATTGCTTTTGTAATTACTTTTTTCAAAAATGAAGAAATTGATTAAGGAAAGGAACAAACCGTGGTAAAATAATTTCATTCAGAATTTTTTTTTAATGTTCCACCTTCAATCACGGTTTTTTTCTTTTCTTTCATCAATTTCTTCATATTTGAAAAAAGAATTTAAAAAAGCAATTGCACCAAAGGATATTTAATGTGGTACATTTTCCGAAATTTACTGTTCTCTAGGTTTGGAAATAATAGTTTAGGATCACGATAGTTTTTCAACGTTGAAAAAAAAAATTTTTTGTTCAATGTTCTTGCTACTAAAACGCTTATTTCACCAACGTTTACAATTTTAGTATTTATCCCATCTTACTGGAAATTTACCATAGTTTTCAATGGATTTGCCCAAAAACCTTTCGTTTTGATCATTGTTTATTTGAAGCAAGGTCGTGAAATCTTAAAAAGTCAGAAAAAGTGAAATAACTCCGAAACTGTTAAGGTGGGTAATTAGGAAATTTAGTTTTTAGTTAATTTAGGACTTTTTGGCTTCATTTTGCATGCAGAACCTCCTGGAAAAAGTTTGTAACCCGAGTAGCCGAGCACACACACAATATATATATAATTAATATTATTAGCCATAATTTGTTAACAAAAAGTATATATCAAATAAGAAAACCTTACCTGAACTATAATTACAACAGACCTGCCAACATAATTATGAGCCATGATTTGTTAACAAAAAGAATTCATCAAAAGGGAAAATCTAGAAGTATATTTCATTTTAAATCCATTAGATTTTGCGGTCCGATTGGGCAAATAAATTATTTTCAATTAATTAATCTTTAAGTAAGGTATCGGTTGAGATAAAAAAGCAAGTGTCATGAGCGGGATTCGAACCCATGACCTTCGGCTCAATACGACGCTGGTCTAACCACATGGCTTCTATCCTCTCGTACAACAGCTTCCCATCTCAACCTCACCTCTCGAATTTTCCCTCCTTTTTGCCACTTTTCAAATGCGTAATCTGATTGGATTCTCGGCGACAAATGAAATAACACGGAGAGCTTTAGTTTTTATCTACCTACCTCAAGCTTTGGCTTTTTTATTCCAACCAATACCTTACTTAAAAAGTTAATTGAAAATAATTTATTTAGTCCATCGGACCACGAAACCTAATGGATTAAAAAATAATAAATTTTTTTACATTTTTCCAGCAGACGGTTGTGAACCATAGCCGTAGTGTACTTTTATTTATTATTATATTTCCAATTGTAACTCATTATATATTGAATAAAGTACATTTTCATTTCACGTAGATAATGTAAGCTTCTAAATAACACATTTTAAAATGATTATTTGATATGGTTATAGAAAAGAGAGAAAAGTTAATAGTTTGTTATACTTTCGAATCTTTCATTGAAGTCCCTGAATTATTCTAGGGATATAAATAATCTATAAGCCGGCAGGTATGTAAATATTTATTATTCCGGCTTTTTGGCGGAAGGGAGGCCGAGGATGTTAATTCTCAAGAAAGAAGGGTTTGGCACTGAAGGATCTGGAATAAGGAATTCCGCTGATGTTGCTTGTGACGAGATCCCTTCTTATTAACATGTCAGTGCGTCAACGCTACAGCAACTTTTCTTCTTATCTTCCGAAGGAGTTTCTTATAAGTCGGAAAACGAGGGATCTAAATATTTATGAGTATAAACATACATATTATATAGAGAAGAGAAAGAACCGACGAGCAACTTTCGTCCCTTTCAAAGTAAATTGAAATACGAAAAGGGGCAGAAGGGAAAAAAGTTGTCCACCTCTCTCGGGTGGTTTGCCCCGAACACCCGAATTCCCCGGATTAACAGAAAAACTTGGCTATTAATTTTTTATTAACCCCTACATGATTCCCACGGTTGACGAGATTAAAAAAGAAGAAACAAGTGTAATTGTTATTCCAGTCGGACTTCCAAAACAAACTAGTCAATTTTTGACATTTTCTACGCGTCGGTTTTACTTAGTGTTCAAATCTCAAAATGAATCCAAAACCTAAAAAAAATCAATAATAAAATGAATTTTATTACGTACACGTAACAAATATGATATAAGGATATTTTCCTGGAAACCTGGAACGAGGTTCATAGTTAGGTTCTACGATCGGCGTGACGTGCTAATTCCGTCAATTCTGATTGCGACATGTACATGAAACATGAGCGATGACACGCTCTTCCTCGCCTGGGCCCTGTCCGCGGTTCAGTGGACACGGGTTACGATCAAACCTCCGACGGTCGTTCCGTGCATCATTTATTCACCCGGGTCGGCCGTCATACACCTGGATGTTATCGGCATCCTGGACAGGCCATTTTTTACATGAACTTTGTCCGAGAATAACAAAAGCGAATGGAGAATTTTGCATGATTTACCTGAAACATCATGCCCTTTATATCTATCTTGGACTTTTCGATGATATTTTGTATTGTAATAAATTATTTAATGTACCTGTAGATTGTCTATTAGTAACTAGTATAACAATTTGATTTGAAAGAAAAGAAAGTTTTTGATTATTTGACTTTATGTTAGTGATTAAACTTTCTTACAGTTTGCCATGTTGCACAAAAATCCAACAAATTAGAAGCTTCTTAAATCTGATCTATAAATTGATCTTCACACCTTACAAACCTACATTGTCAGGTCAATTGATGTTTTAAGTTTTATCACTAGACTTTCATTGATGGGTAGAAACCTGGAATCTTGAACGTTCCAAGATAAATAAGTTACTACATTATGAACATCAGAATGCTTTTTAAAGACGGGATTTGATGAGCCCACTTTATTTGGAAATTTGTAACACTGCGCGGTGACACATCACTGTAAGTGTCCACCCTAACGGATTTAAAAACTGGCTTTAAAAAAAAAACAACTCCTGTGGGGTTGATATGACCTCTCCTGTTGCACTGCAAAAAAGCTGCACATCTGTTCAGCTGAAGGTCGTTGTTTTCTTTTTGAGGAGGAAAATAAAAACAGCCTTACTAGCCGCCTTTATCCAATTAATAAAGTGGACATAAGTATAACTAAAGAGAGAGAGAGAGAGAGAGAGAAGAAAGAGAATGAAGAATAGATATGTATAAAGAGAAAGAGTAATAAAAACAGAGGGATGGGAAATAGTGACAGAGAAAGATAATGATAGAGAAAGAAAGAAAAGAGAGAGATTATTGAGAGAAAGCGAAAGAGAGAGAGAAAAGAGAATGAGAGAGAGATGGGAGATAGTGACATAGAAAAATAGTTATAGAGAAAGAAAGGAAAGTGAGAGAGTAATGAGAGGAAAGTTTAAGAGAGAGGAAAAGAGAATGAGAGACAGATAGTTATAAAGAGCGAGAAAGAAAGAGAGAGAGAGAGAGAGAGAAAGAAAAAGAGAAAGAGAAAGTAGTTTAAAGAAAGAAAGAAAAAAAGAGAAAGTATTGAGAGAAAGCGAAAGAGAGAGGGAAAAAGAGAATGATTTGAGAGAATGATGAATCTCTTTCTCTTTCTCTTTTTCTTTCTCTCTCTATATATATATATATAGAGAGAGAGAGAAATAAAGACAGAGAGTGGGAACTAGTGACAGAGAAAGATAGCGATAGAGAAAGAAAGAAAAGAGAGAAAGCGAAAGAGATAGAAAAAAAAGAATTATATATATATATATATATATATATATATAGAGAGAGAGAGAGAGAGAAATAAAGACTGTGAGCGTGATAGTGACATAGAAAGAAAGCGAAGAAATCGATAGAGAAAGAACGGAAAGAGGGAAAGAGAAATAGAGAGTAAAGAGAGGAAGCGAAAGAAAAAGAGAATGACAGATAGATAGTTATAAAGAGCAAGAAAGAAAGAGAGAGAGAGAGAAATACAGACAGAGAGAAAGTGACTGGGAGATAGTGAAAGAGAAAGTAGTTTAGAGAAAGAAAGAAAAGAGAAAAGAGAGAAAGCTAAAGAGAGAGAAAAAAGAATTATATATATATATATATATATAGAGAGAGAGAGAGAGAGAGAGAGAGAGAGTGAGTGAGAGAGTGGGAGATAGTTACATAGAAAAATAGCGACAGAGAAAAATGGAAAGAAAGAAAGAGAGAGTTAACGAGAGAAAGAGAGAGATTGAGTGAAAGGGAGAGAGAAGAAAGAAGAAA